ACTGTTTTCAAATTCCTTGCCATGATCACTTCTGATTTTGACAATGCACCCTTCTTTTTCTCTTTGAATTCTTTTGCACAGTTCTTTAAAAACTTCAAATACATTAGATTTTTCCCTAATGAAGTTAATCCAGGTGAATCTGGAAAAATCATCCACAACAACATAAGCATATCTTTTTCCACCAAGACTTTCCACCTGCATTGGTCCCATCAGATCCATATGTAGAAGTTCTAGAACCTTAGAGGTGGTCAGATGTCTTGACTTTGGATGTGACATCCTAGTCTGCTTACCAACCTGACATTCACCACATACTCTCCCTTCATCAATTTGCAGTCTTGGAATCCCTCTGATTGCCTCCATGGATATAATCCTTTTCATTCCTCTTAGATGTAGATGGCCAAGTTTTTGGTGCCACAGTTTCACTTCTTTTTCTTCTTTGGCAATAGAACACACAGTAGAGTAATTAGTGTTCTCAAGCTCCCACAAGTAGCAGTTGTCTTTAGATCTGACTCCTTTCATTACAACTTCTTGTTTCTCATTAGTTACAAGACATTCAGATTTTGAGAAGTTGACCTTGAATCCTAGATCGCACAATTGGCTGATACTTATGAGATTAGCAGTCAAGCCTTTTACCAGCAATACTTCATTTAGATTTGGAACTCCAGGACAGTCCAAGTTTCCAACTCCTTTGATTTCTCCTCTAGCACCATCTCCAAAGGTCACATAACTAGTGGTGTGAGGTTTAACATTATTGAGAAGGTTCTTGATTCCAGTCATGTGCTTAGAGCATCCACTGTCAAAGTACCAGTCTTCCTTTGCAGAGACTCTAAGGGAAGTGTGAGCTATCAGGGCAGTAGCCTTTTTCTTCCACTATGGAGTATATGGTACCTTGTTAGACTTAGGTTTGACACCTGGGTTCTGATTAGGATATCCATATAATCTGAAGCAGAATGGCTTTATGTGACCAAACCTCCCACAATGATGACATCTCCATCTTTGATACTTCTTCTTCATATTTCTCTGTTCACGATGTTGAGTGCTATGTTGTGACATCTGCTTTGACATTTGTTTGTCAGGCCTGATCTTCTTGTCTATACCAGATTTCTTTGCTGCCACAAATCCTAGACCATACTTGTTTCCCACATTTTGTCCAACCTGAAGGATTTCTTCCAATTTGTCAGTTCCATTTGTCAGCATCTTAACAGATTTGGTCATCTGGTGCAGTTTTGAGTTTAGCAATTGAACCTCCCCTTCTAGATGAATTATAGTATCAGTGTTTGCCCTTTTCTCAGCCTCTAACTTTATTATGAGTTTTGTTTGTCTCTCATTTTGCTGACAGACTTCAGCACTTCATATACATAATTTCTTGTAGGAATCAGCCAGTTCTTCAAATGTCACTTCCTCATCACTAGAGTCACTATCAGAGTTACAAATACCAGTTAGTGCAGTAACTAGTTTGGCAGATTCTTCTTCAGAATTACTTTCTGAATCACAATCAGACCAAGTAACAGACATTCCTTTCTTTTGTTTCTTAAGAAAGGTAGGACATTCAGCTCGAATGTGCCCATATCCTTCACATCCATGGCATTGAATTCCTCTGCTTTGATTTCCCTTCTCTTCAGACTTTGGTCTTCTGCTGGAGTCATAAGATCTGTTAATGTCAGAAGGAATGTTCTTGACATTTGACCTTGACTTTGGATCCATTCTCTTGATGAGTTTGTTGAATTGTCTTCCAAGCATGGCTATAGCTTCTGAAATATTTTCTTCTTCAACCTCCTTGTTTTCATCTTCAGCGTTAGATACAAGTGCTATGCTCTTGTTTTTCTTGTCGACATTGTCACTGATTCCCATCTCAAAGGTCTGAAGAGACCCAATGAGTTCATCCACCTTCAAATTGTTGATATCCTGGGCTTCCTCTATAGCAGTTACCTTCATTGCAAATCTTTTAGGCAAGGATCTGAGAATCTTTCTCACCAGTTTTTCTTCTGACATCTTTTCTCCCAATGCTCCTGAGGTGTTGGCAATCTCCAAGATGTTCATGTGAAACTCATGAATGGTTTCATCTTCCATCATCCTTAGGTTCTCAAATTTGGTAGTCAGCATCTGAAGCCTTGACATTTTTACTTTGGATGTGCCCTCATGGGTAGTTTTGAGAGTGTCCCAAACTTCCTTGGCCAGTTCACATTGATGTACTAGTCTGAATATGTTTCTATCAATTCCATTGAACAAGGCATTTAATGCTTTGGAATTGCCCAGAGCTAACTCATCTTCTTCTTTGCTCCATTCTTCCTCAGGTTTCAGATTGATTGTCCCATCTTTCTCAATTATGGTGGGATGGTTCCATCCTTTGTCAGCAGCTCTCCAAGCCTTTTTGTCCAGTGATTTTAAAAAGGCAACCATACGAGGTTTCCAGTAGTCATAATTTGATCCATCCAGAATGGGTAGTCTGTTTCCAAAAACTCCTTCTTTGTCCATAGCGCCAGAAAGTGATATCCCTAGATCTCACCCAGTAAGACAGGCAGGGTGCCTGCTCTGATGCCAATTAAAATTCTGGCAGCAGATACTCAATGTCACAGTGAATGTTATGACACCGTATCTGACTTTCTATAAGACAGTAAATCAAAAACAGTAAAGAACACAGTCAATTGTTTACCCAGTTCAGTGTGAAACAACACCTACTCTGGGGGCTACCAAGCCAGGGAGGAAATTCACTATAAGAGATATTAATTCAGGAATAAACCAACCAGTTTATCTCCTTCACTTAAGACCTACCCAATGCAACTTCAATCTAAGTTCAACTTAAACCTGAGTTCCTACTCACTCCCCCTCAATCACAGCAGTGATACTAAACAATTGACTAATGAAATAATGAAGACACTCTTCAGAACATACACTTGATTATGCTTCACAGCTTTTAATCAAGTAACACAAACACTCGTGCTTCAAAGCTTTGAGTGATACATAAACCTAACTTGACCTTGCTTCAAAGCTTTAATCAAGTGACACAAACACTCGTGCTTCAAAGCTTTGAGTGATACACAACCCTTACAATCAAAACCTACTCCAAGTCACTTATCACAATGATACTTGCTTGGATTACAGTAGTTAAAACTATACATCCCCTAGTTGATCTTCTGTCAAAGAGTTAATTTTCCCAACAGCCTTCCTGTTGAATATATATGCAGCTGTTTCTTCAGTTAGGGCTTCCACGAAAAGCTAGGATTAATTAGGGTTAACCTCAAGACTTGGTCACAAGACTTTATCAACCAGATTAGGGTTGAGCTAAGTTAACCTAAAGTCCACGTGAGATTCTGTTCTGGAATGTATGAACCAAATTCCTGAAAAATCTCAGAATTAACCAAACTGCATAACTGTTAGATCAATACAGGATGTCTTAACATTGGTTATGACAACAGGAATCTTGTTTACTGATTTTGGTAGACTATAATAGATGTGATCATTGCAAAATGCTCAGATACACACTCATAAAGAGCAGCTACTGTATGCCATTCTTTTTCTGCATAAAGTACCTAATAACCCAGAATGTTATGACATCAGTCATGACATTCACACACCTGGTTTTACCAAAAATACATGCCAATAACTAAACACTTACATCTACTTTTGAGGGATTCTGGTATTTTGCATGATATTCTTACGGCCATGTATGGTGTAGCCCCTATGACCTCTATTATGGGCAGGAGAGTCGGACGCCTTAGATCAGCCTCGTCTTTGTGGAGATGGGTTTACCATCTAGGAACTAGAGCTGCTGATTCTACTGACTGGTTCAGAGACGGTGTCTCCTTGAAAGTTGGTTTTGGTCTCCTTACCTCCTTCTAGGAGGATATTTGGGTTGGAGACTCTCCTCTTCGCTGTAGATTCCCTAACCTTTTTCCAATTTCGGACCAGATCTTTAAATCTGTTGGGAAGGTCGGTAGATAGAAGGAGGAGTTGGATCTGGGATCTCAAGTGGAGGAGGCCTTTTCTTTTTTATTATGAGTTGAATCTTTTAGTGATCTCTAGTATATGATTAGAGCTTTCACCCCTTCTATTGAGAGTGAGGAGTGGAGGTCGCGTGACTCGAGTGATGAGGTTTATTTTGTGTCTTCCGTCTACTCTTGTCTTCTAGCTCGAATATTTCCCCCAAGTCGCCAGGTCTCTCCCGTAGAGTTAGTTCTTTCGGCCATTTGGTGTAGCTGGATCCCCTCTAAAGTTCTAGTTTTCTCTTGACAACTTCTTCAGGATCGTATTCCAACTAGAAGAAACTTACTTAAGAGGGGAGTCCCCTTGACCTCTGGGACTTTTCCTGTCCCTTCTTCTCATTGCACATCGAGTCCTCCTCCCATCTTTTTGTGATCTCCAAAGTTGCATCCTCTGTTTGGTATAGGATTTTTAAGTATTTGGGGTGGTGTGCAGTTCTTCCTAGAGATACTTTGACCCTTTTTAAGATGTTTATCCCTTTGCCTGGGGGGTCCTAAGACTAGAGGGGGACTGGCATGTCGTTGTTTGGTCGATTTAAAAAACCTGGAAATAATATCTTGGTAGGTCCATCGATAACTCATGTGGTTTCTCTGTCTGCCTTGAGAACCTTGTCTTGTTTCTAAGACAATAGAGGGCGAGTGTCTTTAACGTTAATTAGATGTGTTCTTATTTCGTATTTTGTGGTGTTGTTGCTCTTTTCAGGTGTCCTCAGATTGGAGAGCTTTAACTTTGTGTTATGCTGATTTTTCTATGTGTTTATGTGTTTGTTTTCTGTTTGGTCTTCCTTTTTGGAGGTTTGGATTATTGTAATCTGATAGTTGTATTGTGTTTTCCTTTTGGATTGATTTCTCAACAGAATTTTAAACTTGAAATTTCTCAAATAATATCTTTCTCTATATCCTATAATATCTATATCTAAGGAAGCTAAATTTTTATTTCCTCACTGATATCTCATTTATTAAATTTTCACATGTAAGTGGTACATAATTAAGTGTCACTGAAGATAAGAAATTGTTGAATTAAAGTGAATGATATGAAAGAGCAAATGCTGCATGTATTGCAGCACCAATGGGAAGAACATCTTCATCAATGAAAAAATGAGAACTATGTGCAGAATATATGGATCCACACCCTAAAAGGAATAATGTGCCAGGCACTTTTTCTAAGAAAAATGCATAATCTTCACTTGCAGTAAAGGTTTGTGCTAGTTTAATGTTCTCTTCTCCAACAATCATACTTGAGGCTTGTTTGGCTAGTTGGTAGATTCTCTCATCATTTGTTGTTGGAGGAATTGTTGGATGTTCTTTACCAATGAAGTCAACCTCTGCTGAACACCTATGCACTTCTACTTGCGCTTTGATAACCTGCACAATGAAGTCAAACAAATGAAGACTACAAGCCCTAAAACAGACGCAAACACTTAACTTATTCACATGTGTCGGGGGCGTGTCGGCACTGACATGTAACCGACACCCTACACACGACTTAAATATGAAGTGTCTGTGCTACATAGGTAAAACCAAACACGACAATTACCTCTTCTATCCTTTGCCTTAGAGCATTGAAGCTCTTTTTGCCAAAAGCTCTATAAGTACCTCCAAATGTAACAGAATCAGGAATAAGTTCATGACCAGGCACTGCACGAATCATTGCCACGGAAACCACCTGCCAACAGAATCAATCATAGGAGTTTATGTGTGAATGTTTGGTCTTGAAAGTTTTTATCAAATTGAAATTGAGTGTTCGAATAGACCTGTGAATCTAAAGGATCCACCTCCCTGGAAACAATGTTTTGCAAGCTAATCACAGATGCTGAGGCTGCCAAAATAGGATCCAAACAATGATGTGGAATTCTTGCTAAATCCCCTTTGATCTTTGCTTTGAAGCTTCCACATCCTGCTAAAAAATCTCCTGGCCTCGACGCAACAACTCCTAAGGGATACTGTGTTGCTAAATGCAATCCAAAAACTGCCTCTACATCATCAAGCACATTTTCTTTAATCATATCCTTCGCACCTACGCCTCTTTCTTCAGCTGGTTGGAATATAAGAACAACAGTAACCTGCATGTGAAGGACTAGTCAGTTTTCAATGGAAGATTTCCTACAGAGCTCAATTAACTTTTTCACAATTCAACTTTACCTTTAACTTGTCTTTCATTTCTTGTAGTATCTTTGCAGCACCAAGAAGCATCGCAACATGCGCATCATGAGCACAAGCGTGCATTTTTCCATCTACTTTGCTCTTATGATCCCAGTCAACAAGTTCCTGTTGGCAATTAACAAATGCACCAGTATAACATGTCATGCTCATACTTACTAGTTAAAATTCTTGAAAAACTTTTTATGCTATGCTGCAAAAGCCTTTACTCTTGCCAATAACTTATTCATTTTTAATTTACTAAGTGGTCCTAATTACTTTCTTGCCAGTGTACATGACAAGGTAAACAAACCTCCTTAAGAGTTAATGCAGGAAGCTTCTTTTCTTTCCTGTTTTATTATCAAACAACAAAACTAACCCTACAACTCTTTTCAGACCAACATTAACATAATTTAACAACACAACAACTTTGTTGAGTTACCTTTCAATTTTTCCACAATTTGTTTTAATAATCAAGAATTGCATGCAGCATCTATAGCATTATGTCAAACAAAAACAAACATGCAAACATATACAAATCTCCACTATGTCCTTGCATGTTTTGACTGACAGTGACAACCATGATTTCAAACATGCATGAATGATCTATAATTAAAAACAAAGAAAATAAAGTAGTAATGTACATAACAAAACAAAACATACCCTTAATAGAAACACAAGAAATGATGTTTTAGTTACCTGAATAGGCAAAGCATCCATGTCAGCTCTAAGAGCAACAAAAGGAGGAAATCCAGAACCTATTTTAGCAACAACACCTGTTTTAGCCACTGGCCATTCATAACCAACACCTAAATTATCAAGCTCACGCCTTATGACAGAACTCGTCTTGAATTCTTCATAAGCAAGTTCAGGATATTCATGAATTTCTCTTCTGATGTTCTTAATCCATTTCACTGTGCTGGGATTGTTAGCAATCTCAAGAATCTGATTTCTCAGTGAAGAAGTTTGGTTTGTGTTAAAATTGAAAGATAAACATGTGGGGTTGAAGAAGAACAAGAAGATGAGAAAGAGAACAAGTCTTACATGATGATTGTTTAGGACCATCATGTGGTGAATGATAGTGAATGAAAAAGTGATTTGTATATATTTTAAATTTGATGAGACTATATATTTATAATAAAGTATTTGATGAGACTATATATTTATAATAAAGTCTTTGTTTATACATACTTTTATTTGTGATGCTTAGAATATCGTACTACTATATACCTTTTTTATTATTTATCTAAAAAGTTTTTTTGTTACATCAACGAGTTGTGTTATTTGTCCGTGATTTAGTAGTGTCACCAACTTACACTGTTTAAGGGAATTTTAGTGGAGACCACACTTATACATGTGGTTCAGTAGTTATGAGATTTGCATTCTATTTGATTTTTGATATGTGTGCGTAAATGAGGGTATAGTATACGGATTTGTTTGGGACTATCTCTTGTCTCTTTTGTTTGTTGTATATTGAGTTATTCTCTCATATTTTTTTGATTTATGAGATTATTTTTTTTGTTTGGTTTAAAATCTTTAGGTGGTTGGAGTGGTGTCATGTTTTTTTAGTGATATTTTGATCCTCTTTCGAGTAGGAGTGTGTATGGTTATCAAATTTTAAGAACCAATCTATTTTAATGGTTCTAGTTTTAAAATGAAATCATTTTTTATAATAATCAATTTAAAATTGTAAAATGGTTTCAATTCGGTTCAAAACTGGTTTAAATAGATTTTCAATCAAAATTGATTTATAAGGAAAATTGTATCTTTCTTAATTTGAAGAGACGAAAAAAATTTGGGTTAATGAAGGGAACAAGATGCAAAGACATGTGTCATTTTTATACAATTATATTCAAACACCAACACAAATTGTTTATCACAATTTTTTTGAAAAGCAAAAAAATAAAATTCAATTTAAGAGTAAAAATATTACACTTTAATCCATGATAAAGTTGCACCATAACACTAAAACTAGAATCCAAAAAAACTAAAACAAAACATCCTAGAACCAAGACAAAATCTGCTTCAAAACAATTGTTACACCATAACAGTTAAACAAAAAAACACAGATTAACAATCGTTCATCACAATTAACTTAATAAGTTCTTCTTCCATTAACTAATCACCACTCTAATTAACTAATTAATAATAAATAAAATAAGATATATATGTGAGCAACCCCTTCATAGATTGATTTTGAATGATTGCAAATATAATATAACATGTTTGAATAAGCCAAAATTACATTTCTCTTATAATGCATCATTATGAGTTGACACATCAAGTTTTGTATCGATACATAGCTTTCTGAAGTCCCTGGACTTGTATCTCAAAACTATTATGTATCGATACAAAAGCTTTTGAGTCGATACATAACTCTTTGATGATCCTGGAATGTAAATCTAAAAACTGCATGCATCGATACATAAATTTCATGCATCGACACATAATATTTTGATGCCCCTGTAATACTTGTATGAATCGACACAAAACCTTATGTATCGACATAAAACATTCTGATGATCCTGGAAAACGTTTTGAAACTTATATGTATCGATACATAATATCATGTGTCGACTCATACTATGTTTTAAATTCAAAAGTTAAATTTATAATCAGTATGTATCGACACATACGCATTATGTATCGACACAAAACATTCTGATGATCCTGGAAAACATTTTGAAACTTATATGTATCGATACATAATATCATGTGTCGACGCATACTATGTTTTAAATTCAAATTTTAAATTTACAGCCAGTATGTATCGACACATACGCATTATGTGCCGACGGGTATAAAAGTCTTGGTTCTGTAAAATGCCATAACAGGTTTTTGTATCGACTCAAAACATAATGTATCGACTCATCCTGTTACATGTAACTAACATGAGTCGACACATGACCAACATGCATCGACTCATGCACTTTCTTTTTTGACTAACCGTTTTCTTTTATAAATATAAGCAAGCATTTCTTCAGAATAATATATAGCAGCATAAAAGATTGTATGCAAAACAATTGTGAGCAACCAGAAGCTTTTGATTCTTTCATCTTCATCATCTTCTCAATCATCTTACATTCAACAACAATAAAGAAAATCAAACATTCTTGTTGAATTGAATCAAGCAGTTTGAGATAACGTTCAGTTGAGTATTGAAGAAGTCTAGCTGAGTTGAAGGTTGAAGAGGAAGCTTCAAGAAATAAACCACAGGGTTTGTCCTTCAGAACGGGTGTGTTCTTGAGGGTTTTGTCAATCACGGTCGCGCGAGTCGGATTCAGCCGTAGCGAAGGGTTTGGAAATCAGAAGGATTTGGAACAAACGGGTCATGGAAGCGGAGGATCATTCGGTGACTTTGCAGGGAATCTTGATACAGCTCTTATCAAGTGGTGGTTCTTACAAGAAGAAGAAGATCATAGGGATTTTTGTCTTTATGTGCAGTGTAACCTTGCTATTAAACATTCAGCATATTGATATAAAAGTTCTCAGTTTCGATTGTGAAATTGAGAGGGAGACGTACCCACACGCGAGGACGACAGTGGGGAACTTCCTTATCAAACTGCTTGTGTATCGTTCTCTCTTTCTTTCTCTTTACAGTTTTACATATTCTATAATTTTGTAATTCAATTGGCATGCAAAGTTTTACAGTCTAATGATAAATATAGTGGCTCAAACATTTTCACTAAACCACCACTATTAAATCATTATACAAGCATACGCCAATTGTTTGACAAAATTCCTATCATATTTCTAAATTCATTGGAAATTCTGCTTTATGATAAGTGCATTGAAACGTCAAGATTTCTGAGTTGTATATTCATCCATTCCATTTAATAAAAATCCAGCAAAGTTTTCACATGTCAATCTTTCTAGTAGTCGGTTCAAAGTAGACAGAATTGATTCAGGACATTGATTTTCGCTGCTTTCAACTCTCTTTGATAAAACTATTTTAAATCCTTGAAAAAGAAGAGGTGATCTATTCACCCCCCCCCCCCCCACCCCTCTCGATCACTTGCCACACCGTCTAATAAGTGGTATTAGAGCACCGGTTAGCTGGTGCTTTGTATCTACTCGTAACGCTATGGCCTTTGAACCAAATGGGGCGTATAATAGAGCTCATGTTTTCAATGGTGAAAACTATGGCTACTGGAAAGACTGCATGCGAGTACACATAAATTCCATTGACAGAAATGTATGGATTGCCATTCAAAATGGTCCTTTTCAAATAACCATGAGGAATGATGCAGGTGCAATAGTACCTAAACCTGAGGATCAATGGAATGAAATGGATGAAAATAAATGGTCGTGTGATTGAAGAGTCAGAAATATGATGATCTCAGCACTTGGTGTTGATGAGTATTATAGGGTGTCTCACTGCACGTACGCTAAAGAAATGTGGGACGCTTTAGAAATTTCCCATGAAGGCACAACTGAAGTTAAACAATCCCGCATTAATACACTCAATCAAGAGTTCGAGCTCTTTTGCATGAAGCAAGGAGAATCTGTCTCTGACATGCATAAGAGATTCGTACATCTTGTGAGTCGTTTAAATGCACTTGGAAAACCAGTTTCCAATGAAATTGCTACTAATAAAATTCTGAGATGTCTTAGCAGGGAATGGCAACCTAAAGTAACAGCTATCAAGGAAGCAAATGACCTCACTACGCTTACCATTATAAATTTGTTTGGAAAGCTGGAAAAACATCAACAAGAATTGCAAAGTCTTGAAAAATACGAAAATAAGAGTAAGAAAGAAAGGAACAAAGAAAGGGAGGGTGAGAAGAAGTCAATAGCTCTAATGACTTCTAGCTCTAATTCCTCAACCAAAGAGCAAGATGAAAATGGATCAACTAGTGATGAAAATTCTGATGATGAAGAAATGGGACTTTTTGTTCGGAGATACAATAGATTTATCCGAAATAATGGAATCAAGCACTCCGATAAGAATCTCATAAGCTTTCGTAAGCAATCCAAAGAACCAAGGCAAGAAGAAAATAAAAAGCAAAGAGGTAAAGGACCTTGTTACAATTGTGGTAAAGTTGGACACTACAAACCAGACTGTCCAAAGATGAAAAAGGATAAGGAAAAAGCTCCACCAAAGAAGTTCAACAAACAAATAAGAGCTTATATTGCATGGGAAAGCGACAGCAATTCATCAGACGATGACAGTTCAAGTTGTAGTGATGAAAGTGCAAATTTATGTCTGATGGCACATACAAAAAGTCAATTCTACAACAAGAAAGACAACCATAACAAACAAGTAAGACAAGCATATCCTAACAACTTTTCTTCTATGACCTTTTCTGAACTAAAGTTAGCTTTTGAAAAACTGCAATACAAAGCTAAAGATGCCTTTAAGAGATTATCCTCCGATAAACAAATATTTTCATTTCTCGAGAGTAAAGTCTATAAAGCTGAAAAAGACTTAAAAAGTCTAAAAGCTAGTATTGCAGAAAGTTCAAAAGATAAGGATGTTACAAGATGTATTCCCAGAAGGGAATGTGAATTTTGTCATATTTGGCAGCAAGAGGTTAGGACTCTTAATGCTAAATTAGAAAAAGCTTTACAGCCCAAAGTTACTTTTGCAATTGATCCTAAAATTTTTAAGAAAACATTAAATCCACCGTATTCAAAATACTCTTTTGTTAAAAAATTACCAAAGGATACAATGAGCAGAAGTAAAACAATACATCATCATCATGGTTTATGCCATTATTGTTGTCACTTTGGACATACCATTGAAAAATGCAAGTTTAGGAGGTTCCTTGTTCCTAAAGGCATTTACCAATGGAGGCCTAAAGGCAACCATGTTACCACTTACCCACATGGACCCAATAAAAATTGGGTACCTACCTCTCTCTTTTGATATTGCAGGAAAAATGCCTCACACCCATGGATAGAAGATGGCTTTTAGACAGCGGGTGTTCAAGGCATATGACTGGTGACATATCGCTCTTCATTGACTTCAAGGCAAAGAAGAAAGGATTTGTTACCTATGGAGACAATAACAAAGGAGCTATACTCGGTAAAGGTAGTGTAGGTAATCCCTCTATCACTACTATTTC